GGGCGGGGCCCGCCGCGGGGCCGAGACGCCGAGACGCCGAGGCCCGGCGCCCCCCACCCCACCCCGGGTTGGTAATGGCCGTGTGCCTCGGTCCAGGTGTCATCCGCCGGGTGCTGGGACCCATCGAGAGGACTGGCCTGTGCAGGAAGATAGGATTTCGAACGGTATCGGGGAAAAGGCCTCGCTGGAGGTCTTCTCCTCTTGATTATCCTCCACGTGGTTTTCTTTTATCTGTTGTTGTTGTTTTGTTTTCCATACCTGCTGTGCACTGGAGTCTCACGCCTGGAAGCTTAGCTGTTCCGGGTCTGAGATCTGAGGATCGGGGTTCGAAGCCAGGCCGGGCAAGAAAAAGCTGTGAGACTCATCTCCAGTTAACCACCCAAAAGCCTGAGGTGGAGCTGTGTGTGACTCAAGTGGTGGAGTACTACCTGGGACAGTGCCCAGGCTCTGAGTTTAAGCTCCACCCCAGTACAGATAGATATAAACGCACACACACACACACACACACACAAATTCATTCCAATTATTTCTTTGGGAACTTTGAAGAAAAATAAAACAAAACCAAGTTAATAATTGATCCTCTTGCTCTGGCGGTTTTTTTTTTAAACTTGTGGGAACTGCTGGAACTTAGGGGAAAAAGCAAAACGAAACAACATCTATTATCTTACACATTAGTATTAAACTATAACTTACATTAGTATTAAACTATAATTTTCTGAGTTTGGACATGAAAGTACAATGTGTATTGAGAATTTTCTTCCCTCCCTCCCTTCCTCCTTCTCTTCCTTCGTCTTGAACTCAGGGCCCGACCTGCACACTGTTCCTGAGCCTCTCAGTGTTCGACACTAGCACTCTACCACTCAAGCCACAGCACCACTTCCGGCTTTTTCTGTTTATGTGGTACTGAGGAATCGAACCCAGGGATTCATGTATGCTAGGCAAGCACTCTACCACCAAGCCACATTCCTAGCCCGAGAGTTTCTTTAGTTTTGATTTGAAGGGAGTATAATGCTTGCTGTGTTTTGTATTGCAAACGTCTCTTTTGAGGATAAAATAACATGAATTGTTTTAACATTATAAAAAAAACAATAGTTTCCATAATGCCAATGAAAACTTGTGTACATATGTTGCTCTGGTTATATTTCTTGTAGCTTAGAGACCAAGAAACTTCATTTTTAGTTGTAGTTTTCTCTATTCCAAACAGATACTGAAGAGTGCATATTGTTGGGGTTACAAATGTGAATAATGCCACTCCTGATGTTGTTCTAGTCCACGTTGCAGATGAACTCTGGTACCTACATTTTTCCCCCAAAACTTTCTGAGATATTAAGTTAAACGTTTATATCAGCAAGTTTTGCTAAGATAAATTACAATGCTTAATTATTCAAGAGCCCAAACGAAGTTGAAGACAAACAGGGACCCTTGGTTAAGTTATCTTAAGTAAAATTTAACCCCAAGGAATAGTGACATTCTGAAACTGTTGTGCCTTATTCATTCTTTTCTTAAAAAGAGCAACACTTTCTTAAACTTGCCATTTTATTTTCCTCTTGAGAAGAGTGAGTGAAGGTAGTTTGGATTGTTACCAACAACTTGATATTTTATTGCTATGATTTCCTAATGTTTGTTCAAAATATTTTATTTAAGGCTTTTAGTTTCATTTTAGTGTTTAATGTTGTAGTGCCAGGTAACATAATAACTAACACTTGTGAAATAATTACAATGTAACTATCATGTGTTACATCTTGTTTTAGTATTAACCTTTTTTTTAAAGAATCAGTTTTCTCCCTCCCTCCCCCTCTTTCTTTTTCTTTCTTTCTTTCTTTCTTTCTTTCTTTCTTTCTTTCTTTCTTTCTTTCTTTCTTTCTCTCCTTCTCTCCTTCTCTCCTTCTTTCCTTCCTTTTCCATCATGGGGTTTGAACTCGGCCTGAACGCTGTCCCCCAGCTCTTCAGCTCAAGGCTAGTGCTCTGCCACTTGAGCCACTGCACCACTTCCAGTTTTCTGGTGGTTTATTGGAGATTTGAGTCTCATGGATTTTCCTGCCCGGGCTGGCTTTGAACCACGATCCTTAGATCTCAGCCTCCTAAGTAGCTAAGATTATAGGCGTGAGCCACCGGTGCCCTTTTAACTATAATTTTACTGTTATTAAGGTGTGGTACAGAGGGGTTATCATTTCATAAATGAGATAGAGTACAGTTCTTTTTGGGCAATGTTACCTGTTTGCTTTCCTCCAGTTTCCCATCTCCCATTCCTGCCTACAAGTTGCATAGTTCATTTTCACATAGTGTATACTGAATATCATAACTGCATTTGTTCACACTTTTCTTTGTTTCTGCGATTCCCTCTTTCCCCCTTAAAAGACCCCCCCCCCTCCCCTGCAAGCAACCTCAAAGGAAAAATAAGCAGCATCGGGCTGGTAGAGTGCTTGCCTTGCATGCCTGAGGCCCTGGGTTCGATTCCTCAGCACCACAAAACAAAAAGAAAAAAAGCTTGAAGTGGCGCTGTGGCTCAAGTGGTAGAGCGCTAGCCTTGAGCTGAAGTGCTGAGGGACAGCACCCAGGCCCAGAATTCAGGCCCCACTACTGGACCCCCCCCCAAAAAAAAAAAAAAGCAGCACCATCACCACCACCAAAAAATGTTTCTATTTCCTGGAATTCTAAGAAAGAAATTTAAAAAAAAGAAATTTTTTAGGCTATTTAGATGTAAAGAAATAGTTAATAAAAGTCATTTAAATAACATTCTGAACACTTGGCCAGTTAATAAAAGTCATTTAAATAACATTCTGAACACTGGCCTTTTTTTCCCTTTAATTGTCCATTGTGGGGCTTGAACTTAAGGCCTGGACACTGTCTTTGAGCTTTTGCGCTTAAGGCTGGTGCTTTACCACTTGGAGCCATAGCACTACTTCTGGTTTTCTGGTTGTAAATTGGAGGTAAGAGTCTCTTGAAGTTTTCTGCCTGGGTTGGCTTTCAAACCATGATCCTCAGATCTCAATCTCTTGAGTAGGTAGGATTACAAGTGTGCTATGAATCAAACTCAGGTTTGTCATATAGTGGAAAAATTGAGGTTTCAAATTTACAGTCACACCTTGTTGTAATTCTAATACTGTAAAAGCTATGAGTTTATGGCTACCCTTCTGTTCATTTTTTTTTTTTTTTGGCCATTCCTGGGACTTGAACTCAGGGCCTGGGCAATGCCTTTGAGCTTCTTTTGCTCAAGACTAGCACTCTATTACTAGAGCCACAGCGGTACTGTAGAGTCGAACCCAGGGTTTCATGCATGCTAGGCAGGCACTCTTATCATTAAGCCACATTCCCAGCCCTGTTCATTTTGCTTAGAGAACTTGAATCCACATATCTGACTGTTTTGGATCTATTTTACTGTGCTCGTTTATTCTGAATAGCTAGAATAAATTAGTTTCCCATAGGACTAATAACTTATGTAAGTTCTGAAGATTAATTTGAGATATAAGTCATTATTTGATATTAGGAAATCTCATAATTAATCTAGCAACCTAATAATTATGTAATAGGTAATATATTTATTTTAATAGGTATATAATAGTATATTAATATTAATTATATAATTGTGTTATATTAATATTGACATTTTATATAATTTGTATATCTGTTACTATAACATGTATATTAATATAATATTGATATAATTATATATAATGATTATAATTAAATAATAATTAAAGATAACATTTTCAACTCTTTTTAACTATATCTTTTTTTCCCTCAGAGTTGACAACTGAACTTAGAGCCTTATACTTGTTAGACAAGTGCTCTTTCTCTGAGCTAAACCCCCAACTGTACTGTATCTTTTCGCTATAGTTTTTGCTGCATTTTGTTCTGAGGCTTGAACACAGTACCCTTGCATACAACTTGAACCAGATCTCTTGTCTAGCTTTTTCCTGGTTAATTGAAGAGAGTCTGTTAGACTTTACTGCCTGGGCTGACATTGTACAGTCTTCATTCAGGTCTCAGCCTCCTGAGTAGTCTGAGCCAGGGTCTGGTCTTCAGTGTACTACACTTCCTGAGTAGCTAGGACTACTAGAGACCTTAAATTTCAGTTTTCTTGTCTTAGTCTCCTGAGTGCTGGGATTACTGGTACCCACCCCTATACCTGGCTAATTATTCTTATTATTTTTAAAAACTAGGCACTGGTGGCTCATGCCTCTTATCCTAAGGAGGCTGAGGATCAGAGTTTAAAACAATGGTTATTTCCAATTAACCGCCAAAAAATGAGGTATGCAATAGAGGTATGGCAAAAGTGGTAGAGCGCCAGACTTGAGTGGAAAAAGCCAAATGAGGCTCTGAGTTCAAGCTCCAATATTGATAGGCACATTCATAGAGAAGCAAGTGTTGATTTTTCCTAAGCCAGTACAATGTAAACAAAAACAACTGTTGAAGACTAATATTGTGAATAGATGTTTACTTTTGTGTTTCTAGGAATAAAACATTTTTTTGGGGGGGGTCCAGTTGTGGGGCCTGAACTCTGGGCCTGGGTGCTGTCCCTCAGCTCTTCAGCTCAAGGCTAGCGCTCTACCACTTGAGCCACAGCGCCACTCCCAGCTTTTTTCTTTTTGCTTATGTGGTGCTGAGGAATCGAACCCAGGGTCTCAGGCATGCAAGGCAAGCGCTCTATCACTGAGCCACCTTCCCAGCCCTAATACTGGTTTTTTAATTGTAACTTTTTTTTTTAAATAAGAATTTTGGGGGCTGGGAAGGTGGCTCAGTGGTAGAGCGCTTGCCTTGCATGCTCGAGGCCCTGGGTTTGATTCCTCAGCCCCACATAAGCAAAAAGAAAAAAGCCGGAAGTGGCACTGTGGCTCAAGTGGTAGAGTGCTAGCCTTGAGCTGAAGAGCTGAGGGACAGCACCCAGGCCCAGAGTTCAGGCCCCACGACCGGACCAGAAAAAAAAAAGAATTTTGGTTAAATTCGCAAACTTATGCTAGATTGTTATATCTTTATGATAGATTTAACTTTATGGTTTCATTGATTTAGGATCTGAACCAATGATGCTGGGTTCACCTACATCTCCAAAGCCAGGAGTTAATGCCCAGTTCTTACCTGGATTTTTAATGGGGGATTTGCCCGCTCCAGTGACTCCACAACCTCGAACAATAAGTGGACCCTCAGTTGGAGTTATGGAAATGAGATCGCCTTTACTTGCAGGTAGGTGAATTGCTTAGAGTAGTTTTATTGCAGTATATCAATGCATGTGTAGCCCATATTTATTGTAGGGCTTTTTTTGATTTTTTTTTTTTTTTAGCAAAACTATACTTTAAGAGGTAACTTTCATGTTTTACTTATGTGTAGTAAGAGCTGTTGAAATGGAAGAATTCTGTGAACCTAATACTCTTTTTGTTTTTTGGTCGGCCCTGGGGCTTGAACTCTGGGCCTGGGCGCTGTCCCTTAGCTCTTCAGCTTAAGGCGGGCCCTCTACCACTTGAGCCACAGCGCCACTTCCGGTTTTCTGGTGGTTAATTGGAGATTAGAGTCTCAAGTCATGGACTTACTTGCCCAGACTGTCTTTCAATATTACCCTCCTGAGTAGCTAGGATTATAGGGGTAAGCTACTGGTACCTGGCTTCTTCTTTCTTTAGTTGCCTTTTAAAATACTACTTGGTATAAGGTGGTTTATTGCCTTTTTTTATTAGCATTGATGAGACAGAGAGGCTTTTGTCATATTATATTTGAAATTAATTCATTTTAAAGCATTATATTCAGGACAGATGTTAAAATATCAGATGTATTTTATTATGGCTTCCATATATTGTTTGTGAGACAGGCTTTATGTTATTTTATAGATTATCTCATGAAAAATACCAATTTTAAAGGGTAGGTGTAAATAGTATCTCTACTTTTCAAAGGGGAATATCTACTTTCCAAAAGAGAAATATGAGATTAAATGTATTAAGCAGTTGGCTATGTTCACTTCAGTAATAGCAGTTTGCTGAAGCCTAGATCCATTTTATTCTATAGCCTTTGCTCTAATTAGCTTATGCTGTACTCCAGGCTCTCATCGTCTTAAAGAAGGCTGGGCTGCTTCATTATGCAACTTTGTTGGCTCTCTGACTTACAAAAGCATTGTTACGTCACAAAAGTTGATTATTCTATGCATCTTTATTCCTACCTAAATATGCTACTCTGAGAAATATAAATGAAATCTGCTTAATTTTGACAGACAAATTCCATACTTAGAGATAATTCAGGTATACTTGGAATGAAGTATTTTTCAGGTGAGGGTGTTTCTGGGACTTACATTCCTCCTAGCTTGGGCATTGTCCTTGAGCTTCTATGCTTAAGCCTAGGCCACTACACTACCCTTTGAGACACACCTTCACTTCCTGAAGTTGTACTTTCAGATGAGAAACGAACTCATACTTTCTTTTTTTTATTTTGAGATAGTGTCTTTCTTTGTTCTTCACACTTTAACCCATAGGTTCATTATCTTCCCACCTCAACCTCTTTAAGTGGGCATGTTTCTGCTTCTGAAATTATTTTTGTTGTTGTTCCAGTCCTAGGGCCTGGGCACCAACCCTCAACATTTTTGTTCAAGGCTAGCTAGCTCTTTGCCATTGGAGCCACAACTTGTACTTCTGGCTTTTTGGTGATTAGTTGGATATAAGAGTTCCATGGACATTTTTGCCTACATTGGCTTTGAATCAGGATCCTTAGATCTCACCCTCCTAAGTAGCCACAAATTACATTTTTTTCCCACTGAAGTGTTAAGCATTTAGTAAAGAAAGCAAACATTACAAAGTTATGTGTGTATGTGTGTGAGTGTGTGTGCGCGTGTGAAAGAGAGAGAGAGAGAAAATATGCACGCCGCGTAGGTGATCTGGGAGAGACAGGGACTGTCTTCTGAGCTCTTTTGATCTAGGCTAGTGCATTACCACTTAAGTCACAGATTCCCTTTCAGAATTTTGTGGTTAATTGGAGATATGAGTCTCAAAGACATTTCTTGCCCTGGCTGACTTTGAACTGAAATCCTCAGATCTCAGCTTCTTGAACAGTTAGGATTACAGGTACAAGCCATTGGTGTCCAGCAAATCTGAGTTTTAAAAGTTGTAATTTTTATTTACTACTTAACTCAGAAACCTTTTCTTTAAACTACAAGCAACAGTGGCATTACGTGGAAGCTTTTTAGCACTTTGTAATTTTAGCCTCCACCCCATACCTTTTGAATCATAGTATGAATTTTAACAACATTCTAATGTTATCTTTCAGGCATAGTACAGTATTAAAGTTTGAATAGCCCTAGGGGATGAGGGCTATTCTCTGTTTTGTCAATATTTCAAAAACACAAGTTAAAAAAAATAGAAGATAAAAAGATTGTTCTATCACTGGATTGTGGGTTGTTTTTTTTTTTTTTTTTGGTATTTTGTAGGTGGATCACCACCACAACCAGTTGTACCAGCTCATAAAGATAAAAGTGGAGCTCCACCTGTTAGAAGTATATATGATGAAATTTCCAGCCCAGGACTTGGATCAACACCTTTAAATTCAAGAAGACAGGTAATGTTCATATCTTCATGGTCCATGATTAATATTCATGTCCTATGATTTATGGTTAATTGATTTATATTTCTAAGTGGCTACACAGTGGGGGTCAGGAGGTAGATAAATTGTTTCCTAAAGTCTGTTACAGAATAGCTATATTGCACAACATAAGTATTAAATACAATTTATCATAGATTCTACTTAAATTGTGTTTATTATGAAATATACTTAGAAATATAATAGAACTATAAGTTATCCTTCATGGCACATGCCTTGTAATCATAGTACTCATAAGGCTAAGGGAGAGTTCAAGGCCAACATGCCCACATAATAGGACTCAAGTCTCAGAAAAGATAAAAGAAAGTAGATTTTTTTCTCATGCAGGTGATTCTGCACATTCCTTCTCTCTCCCAGTGCCAGTACTAGGTCTAGAAGTCCCATCCTGTGCTCTCACTTGGCTATTGTGCTCAAGGCTAGTGCTCCTACGTGAACCATACCCTCTTCCACTTTCTAGCTTTTTTTCCTGGTTAATTGGAGATAAAAGTCTTATGGACATTTCTGCCTGGGCTGGCATTGAACTGCATTCCTCAGATCTCAGCCACCTGAGTAGTGAGGATTACAGCTGTGAGCTATTGGCACCCAGCTCTTGTCAGTTTTTGGTTGGATAGTGATGTTGTTGTTTTGTTTTTTTTCTTTGGTTTATAGGATGATTTAAAATTACTTTTGATTTTTTTTCATGTTTACAGGACTAGTAATGGTACATTTTCAGCTTTATAATTTTTTTTGGGGGGGGGGTCCAGTCGTGGGGCCTGAACTCTGGGACTGGGTGCTGCCCCTCAGCTCTTCAGCTCAAAGCTAGCACTCTACCACTTGAGCCACAGCGCCACTTCCGGCTTTTTTCTTTTTTCTTATATGGTGCTTTTTCTTTTTTCTTATATGGTGCTGAGGAATCAAACCCAGGGCCTCATGCTTGCAAGGCAAGCGCTCTACCACTGAGCCACCTTCCCAGCCCCCAGCTTTATAACTTTTTACTGGTAGTTTAGGGTTATGTAGTTTTTCATTGTCCAGGATGATTTTAATTTGTATTTTATAGTTTATATCTGATTAAAATTGTTACTTTTTTTTGTATGTGAATTTGGTGATTTGAAGGATCATTATCTTCATTGTTTTAATTATTGTACATTGAGAACTAGATAGCAACTGGGTTAATTATTTCCTGCAGAATACTTTTTACCCAGTGTACGTTTTCTTATTTTAAACAACTATGTTATGAATGGTCTAGCATATGTCTAGTTAATAATGACTGCTAAACATAAACAACAAAAAAGTAAAAAAAGAAGCCTACCCATGGTACTGTGATTTGATTATAGACAACTATAGTACTAATTCTCTCTCATGAATTTCGGATATTTAGTTATTGATTGAAAAATTGTTTTGATAATTACTGTCTTTATCAGTGGTTAGAACTTTGCAGTTTTACCCTAATGCTTTGTTCTGTTTTAATGTAGACAAACATTTCAGTAATGCAGAGTCCTCTTGTTGGAGTTACAACTACTCCTGGAACAGGTAAACAACTCCTTTAACACCAAAGTCTATTCTCTCTTCTGATCAAAGATAATTGACTTTTGTTGCTAACTACTTATTTTTTAAATATGTACTTAGACATGAAGACTTTTCTCAAATGTCAATAATGTCCTTTAGGAAATATTTTACACATATAGTGATTATTTTGTGAATTTATAGCTATGATAGGGTATCCTATTGAAAATATTAATAGTGTTTTAAAAATTATTAATAGTTGAAGTGTTTCCTGGGTTACTAAAAACTAAGATCAGAAGAGCTGTTGCAAATGGCATGAAACAGAATTACTCATACTGAATAATGAATGAGTGTTGAGAATAATTAATGCATAGGTATAAAGCTAAATGACATTGAAGCAGCCACTATATCTAGTTTTTCTTTTAACATTCATCTTTTTTATCACTATAATCATCTTTAGCACAGGTTTCTTATTTTGTTGTTGTTGTTGAAACAAGATAGTGAGCTATGTAGCTCAGGCTGCCCAAGAGCTTTATTTTCTAAATAACAGCCACAGTCATGGGATTTGAACTTAGGGTTTTTTGGGTACTGTCTTTAGCTTGTTCACTCAAGACTGGCACTGTACCACTTGAGTCACAACTCCATTTCTGGCTTTTCCATGATTGGTTGGAGATGAGTCTCATGGAATTTTCTGCCCAGGCTGACTTTGAACCATAATCCTCAGAACTCAGCCTCCTCAGTAACTAGGATAAGAGGCATGAACCACCATGCTTGGCTTGTCTCAAATTCTTTTTTTTTTTGGTCAGTCAAGGGGCTTGAATTCTAGGCCTGGTCGCTGTCCCTCAGCTCTTCAACTCAAGGCTAGCGCTCTACCACTTGAGCCACAGTGCTACTTCTGGTTTTCTGGTGGTTTATTGGAGATATAAGTGTCTCAGGGACTGTCCTGCCTGGGCTGGCTTTGAACCATGATCCTCAGATCTTAGCCTCCTGAGTAGCTAGGATTACAGGTTTGAGCCACTGACACCTGGCTTTGGTCTCAAATTCTTGATACTACTGCCTTTGCCTCCTGAATGCTGAGGTTATATATGTGTGTTAGCACACAACTCTTTATATGTTGATATGCTCATGACCACATTAATCTTAGCAAATGTTTGAGTACCTACCTAGTTGCCAGACTGAAGGAAATAGTGAACAAAATATGAAACTACTGACTTTATAGAGCTTAAATTAGTTTATAGGATTTCCATTTTTTCAACAGTGTAAGTAAATTAGGTTAGAAGGTAATATATTCTGGAGGGAAAAATTAAAGCAGAATATGTGTATGTTTATATTTATATATGTATATAGGTATATATAATTAATTTTTTTGCCAGTTCTGGGGCTTGAACTCAGAGCCCAAGCACTGTCCGTGAACTTCTTTTGCTCAAGGCTAGCATTCTACCATGTGAGCTACAGTGCCACTTTGGTTTTTTCTGTTTATGTGGTACTGAGGAATCAAACTCAGGGCTTCCTATATGTTAGGAAAGCACTCTACTACTAAGTCACATTCCGAACCCCATAATTAAAAAAAATTTAAGCCAGGATCTTGCTGTGTAGTTGAGTCCTCAAATTTGTGATCCTCTTACTTTAGCTTCTTGAGTGGGAGGGTTAAATTAGGTATATTAAATTTTCTTTTGTGCCTTAATGTTTCTGCAAACTTATAATGGCTTAAGCAAATATAAACATATTACTAAACTGTAAAGATTTAGAAGTCAGAAGGTTTAAAATAGGTCTGATTGGGCCAAATTAGGGCATTGGAAGGGCTGTATTAATTTATCTGTTTTTCGCTTTTCTATTTTTAGAGGCTACTCACATTTCTTGGCCCATAGTCTCTTTTGTCTTCAAAGCCAACAACTTAGTCTCTCTTAAAAGTTCTTTTGTGGTCACCTTTCTCTTAAGGATGCCTGAGAGGCTGGCTGAGTGGCTCAAGTGGTTAAAGCATTGCCTAGCAAGTGCAAAAGGCCCTAAGTCCAAACCAAAACAGTAGGAAATAAAATGAGAGGGGTAGTGGGCACAGATTATTTTATCTGTAGGTCATTGTAAATACCTGATAATTGCCTAGAAAAGTTGAAAAACAATTTGAATGAGGATGTTACTGACAATAGTTTGCTGGTGAGTGATTGGGATGAAAGGAGGCAAATGTGTTTGGAGATGGTGGTAGACTAAAAAGAAGGCAAAGAAGAAGACAGCAAGAACAACATAATAGATGGAATGTAACAGCAAGAAAGTGGATTTACAATAAACCAAATGAACAGTTGCACAAAATAAAATATCCTAAACGTTCTAGTTAAAATACAGAGCTTGTGAGAATGTTGGATCTTTAACATTCCAGATCCACTCCAGCTTTCTTCAGCATGTCTTCTGATCCCTTACTGGCAATATCCTGGAGGGCTAGATTTGCACTGACAGTTTGTTAAAGGCAATATAATCTAATCTCTGTCTGTTTCTCACTCTCTCAATCTCTTTCCTGTTAATAAAAATACCTGTTTTGCACCTAAATTATGTAGACCTTTTTTTTGCTGAGAAAACAAAATACCATGAACCTAGTGGCTCTTGTAGCTTATAACAGAAATTTATTTATCTCACAATTTTTGCAAGTAAGACATTTAGACATTGTTGGAGGTTATTTTTTTTTTTTTCTCTTGGAGCTGAGGTATCAGCATTGTTTTGTGTTATTTTTGGAGGCTATAGAGATGAATCCAGATGGAAGTTGGTGGAATTCAGTTCCATGTGGTAGTAGCACTTCAGGTTGTCCTTAGCTTTTAGAGGCTTTTCTCATTCCATGGCTTCATCCTCAGTGGCAGCAATGGCAGATCATGTCTTTTTTTTTAATATTTCATATTTCTTCTCTTTTTCTTTTTTTTTTTTCCAGGGCTGAGGACCGAACCCAGGGCCTTGCTCGCGCCGGGCGGGCGCCCTTCCGCTGGGCTAAACCCCCAGCCCCATATTTCATATTTCTTTGACTTGACTTTTTTACTTGTTGTTGTTATTGGGTAAAATGATATAATCTAGGACCATTTTTTTTTTTTTTTTGGTGTTGAGAATCAAACTTTGGGTCTTAGACCTGCTACATCCCTGGTCCAGATAATTCTTCATTTTAAGATCAGCTGATTAGTAATTTTAATTCCATCTATAAAATTCTTTCACAGAAATACCTAAATTAGTGTTTAACTGAACTAATGGTCAGCCCTAGAATATTGGAGAGATCTTTAAAGTGTGTGTGTGTGTGTGTGTCCTGAGGATTGAACTCAGGTCTTGTGTGTGTTAGTCCTGAGGATTGAGATCTTTAGAGTGTGTGTGTGTGTGTGTGTGTGTGTGTGTCCTGAGGATTGAACTCAGGTCTTGAATGGTGTCCCTGAGCTTTTTTTGCTCAGTGCTAGTACTCTTGTCATTTGAGCCATAGTTCCAGTGCCACTTTTGGCTTTTTGGTGCTTAATTGGAGATGAGATTCACAGACTCTGGGTGGGGTTTGCTTCAAACCTCAATCCTTAGCTCTCAGCCTCCCCAATAACTAGGGCCTGAGCCACTGACTGACTAGCTCTCTCTCTCTCTCTCTCTTTGTTTTTAAAGTTTAAATTAAATATTTTTTTTTTTTTTTGTCGGTCGTGGGGCTTGAACTCTGGACTTGGGCGCTGTTCCTCAGCTCTTCAGCTCAAGGCAAGCGCTCTACCACTTGAGCTACAGCGCCACTTCCGGTTTTCTGGTGGTTTATTGGAGATAGGAGTCTCACGGTCTCTCCTGCCCGGGCTGGCTTTGAACCGCGATCCTCAGATCTCAGCCTCCTGAGTAGCTAGGATTACAGGCGTGAGCCACCAGCGCCCGGCTTAAATTAAATATTTTTATTATCTTTCAGTAGTAGTTCAGAAGAGTTACCACTCAACAGATCAGTATAACTACAATGCATCTTGGTCCATGTCACTTCTTTCATCATTCTCCCTCATCCTTCCCAACCCAGTCCCTTCTCTAGAAGTCTTGTTTATTATATGGAGGTGGCCCTGTATATCTGTGTTCACCCAACCACAAGTTGAAAATACAGTATAAGTATTTACATAGCATTTGTTATATTGCATGAAATACAGATGTGATTTGAAGTATATCAGAGGGTATGTAGAGACTAATTGTAAATGCTGTACTATTTTATATAAGGGACTTAGGCATTTTGGTATTCTTGGGTATTCTGGAGCTAGTCTCCCATTGGTTCTGAGGGACTCATGGTCAAATGATAATATGCCTTCTCACTACATAATTGAGGGTCCTAGTAGATTTGGTTCTAGCCTTACCAACCATAACTTGACCAAACTTTTATAACAGGTAATAGCAATGTTACACACATATACTGATTATTTAGTTTTAAGGTCCCAGGGATGTTCAAGATGCAAAAATGTTCTCCGTTTTTCTTTTTTCGGTCATTCGTGGGGCTTGAACTCTGGGCCTGGGTGCTGTCCCTCAGCTCTTCAGCTCAAGGTGAGCGCTCTACCACTTGAGCCACAGTGCCACTTCTGGTGGTTTATTGGAGTTTCATGGACTTTCCTGCCCAGGCTGCCTTTGAATTGCAATCCTCAGATTTTATCCTCTTTAATAGCTAGGATTACTGGTGTCTTGCACGGTCTCCATTTTCTGTTGTTGATAGCACAATATTGGTAAGCTGTGAAGAAAAAGATTTATTTTGGCTCACTAGTCCAGTGTTGCACGGCCACATACCCTTTTTGCTAACAGTCCTGAGATACCACTGGGCATCACATGATGAAAGGGTTTATGTGTTTGTCTTCTGGTCTCTCCTCTTACAAAGTCACCAGTATTAAGTTATAGGGCCTTCATATTATCAAGTTTTAATAGCGCCAACAGTTCAGCTTCTATATACTATATAGTTTGTTTCTGCTCTCCTAACGGGTATTAACTCTAATGCGATTGTCAGAAGGAACTTAACTATATTCAAATCATAGTAGACAAAATTTTTAAGTGGTATACTTTGTCTCAGTTGACAGAAAAAACAGTTTCTTGTCAAGTGGAAGAGCACATAATTAAAGTTTAATATCTTTCTGTTAAACTATAACTTCTCTGAGGTTTTAAAAATGGAAGTAATGGTTTATGAGCATGAGATCTATGGTAGAAAAAAATATGACTGTCATAAATTGGCCACTGGGAGCCACTGCTGCCTCTTCTTTGAGTTTAAGGAATTTATGTGTAGAAAATTTAACAGGATATAAATGAAAAGGAGCAATTTTAAATAGTTGTGACAGGTGTGAGGACTTACACATGGTCAGTAATAAAGAAGGTACAGAATAAAGGAGTTGACTTGAGAAAATTGAGCAGGAAATTCTAGACTTCAGTGACAAGTATTTTAGTTTCTATATTTAGTGTTAAGTGTTACTTTCTTGTGTAATTTGTAAATTTTATTCTTCTGAGATTGACCACTTAAAAATTTGTGTCGTGGAGTATGAGTGAGAGATTAGCATGATGCATAAATTTCTTGTGTTCAATAATGTTTGCTTGTTTTTCTTACATACCTGATATTAAAATCATTTTTAGATTTTTGTTTCTGGTATTAGAAAACCTTGGCCCTATCATAAAATAACTTTGAATTAAAGAATATCAGAAACAGTTGTCATTATGGTTTATATTGTCTCTGTTAAAGAAGATTGGAGCCAGTTGCCTGTGGCTTAACACCTGTAATTTAGCTACTGAGGAGGCTGAGATCTGAAACTACAGTTCAAAGCCAGGCTGGGTAGAAAACTCTGTGAGACTCTTATGTTCAGTAAACCACCAGAAAACCAGAAGTGGCACTATGGCTCAAGTGGTAGTGCACTCGCCTTGAGCTGAAGATCTTAGGGACAGGGCCCAGACCCTGGGGAACTGATGAAACATTTCAAGTTAGATTCATTGTTCAGTTCTGGGAAATTTTCCTGGGTTATTTGATATTAATACTTTTCTTTGCTTTCTCCTTACTCTCTTTTTGGAGTTCCTTTTGTTTGTGTGCTGAATCACTTTGGAGATTTGTGGTTTTGTTTTTTATCTTGTAAGTCATTTGTGTTTTATTTTTTGAGATTTCTTTGGTAATTTTTCTCTTTTGTATTTTAATTTATATGGCTTTTTTGTTATTCTTTGATTGCATTTAGAAATGCAGCATTCTGTTTTCTCTATTGTGTCTTAACAGTGGGTGAATAATGGTCAGTTACTGTTTGTTCTTTTGTAGTTTATATTTATTTTAAAATCCCCCCCTTTTTGTCATTATTGGTGAAAGAATGTTTATTAATTGAAGTATTAATAAAATACTACTTGAAATCCTTTTTGTAGGTGGATGGAGTTCACCGTTGGCTGGTTGAGGGCTAGGGGAGAACTGATGGAGAAAAACTTTTGTTTTTTGGGATGATCTTTTTTTTTTTGTTGTTCGTTGTGGCACCTGAACTCTGGGGCCTGGGCGCTGTTCCTCAGCTTTTCAGCTCAATGCCAGCTAGCACTCTACCACTTGAGCCACAGCACCACTTAGCAATCGAACCCAGGGCCTCATGCATGTGAGGCAAGCATTCTACTACTGAGCCACCTTCCCAGCCCTTTGGGATGATACTGTGTTGCTCAAAGCACCAGGCCTTTCAGACCAAACCTTTTTTGGAGTGACTCATTTCTGCTTTGTTAGCATAAATGTATCAGACTCAGTCTCAGTAGTTGACTATAAATAACACAAGTAGTCCTATTGCTGGAAAAACCCTTACAGTTTAGACGTTAGTTACCAGGAATTTGGTGGAGGTCAGATCTTACAATGGATTGAGAACAAATTCTTTAGGCTATGATACTGTGTCTCATGGTAAGAATCTGTTCTAACATAAGACAGGATTTCTTTTTTCAAAATTGCCATTTGCCTGTTTAAAATTTACTACAATTTTTAATCTTTTTTGTTTTCATTGAGATTAGTTTGAAGTAATTGAGTCTGCGTTCTAATTAAAGACATTTTCATAAAGGGTAAGAAGGTCTTTTGCCCTTCACTTTTAATCGGATTTTGTGAAGAATGTTTGAATAGTGATTTAACAAGGAAGACAAAAATTACAGTCTAATCTGATGTGGTTTGATAGACACATTTTTATTTACATCTAGTAAAATATAGCATGTGGGTACCAGACGTCTGATTTAGAGGAAGTGAAATCAGTGGAGCAATTTGAACATTAACCAGGTGGGGGGCAATTATGCTAAACTTATGTAAATACTTTTAGATTATGTACAAGTAATTATATTTTTAAGATTAGTTGACAAGGCAAAAATTAGATTGCTTATTCATTTGAAACTTAATTTTGATTTGTCTTATTTTTAAAGGTCATAATGGTTGTCTCAATTTGAGCCCTCATTTAATTTCTTGCTGGAAGGTTATTACATGATGTGGCATAACTAAGTTGTATCTTCTTAATGTAATACAGGTCATACAAAATGAATTGGCTTCAGATTTTATGATAAAGTACCTTTTCTATCTTTGGTTTATTAAAGGCATCTGTTTATAGTAAGAACTAAACTTATTTAAGGGATATTTTATATAAGTATGTGTTTCCCATTGTTTCCAAAAAAGTTGATAAATTAGTTGATAACAGATTTTTTTTTTTCAGTCCTAGATGGGTCTTGAACTCAGGATCTGGTGCTGTCTCTGAGCTCTTTTGCTCAAGGTTAGCACTCTACCACTTTGAGCCACAGCACCATTTCCAGTCTTTTGAGTAGTTAATTGGAGATAAAGAGTCTCAGGAGGACTTTTCTGCCCTGGCTGGCTTTGAGCTTTTTTTAAAAGTACAAACTCGGGATTGTGTGTGTGTGTATGTCTGTGTCTGTATGTCTGTGTGTTGCTGTGTGTCATTCCTGCAGCTTGAACTCAGCTTGGGCACTGTCTTTGAGCATTTTTGCCCAAGATTAGGACTAGCGGAGCTATAGCTCCACTACTGGCTTTTTAGTTAGAGGTAAGAGTCTCATGGACTTTCTTGTTCCTGCTGACTTTAAACTGTGACCTCAGTCCTGTCCCTAAACACTTTTCTGAAGCAGTCTTACCATTTCAGCCCCAGCTCTTTTTGGTGGTTAATGAGAGGTAAGCTCGTGTGCGCGTGCGGGCGTGTGTGCGTGCGTGCGTGTGTGCGCGCGCGTGTGTGTGTGTGTGTGTGTGTGTGAGTCCTGGGGCTTGAACTCAAGGCCTGGGAGGTAAGCTCGTGTTTGTGTGCGTGTGTCCTGGGGCGGGCCTGGGCACTGTCCATGAACTTCTTTTATGCAAGGCTAGCACTCTACCACTTGAGCCATAGTGCCACTTCTTAAGTTTTCTGTTTATGTGGTATTGAGGAATGTATTCAGGGCTTTGTGCATGCTAGATAAGCATTCTACCACTAAGCTATATTCCCAACCTGTTTTTTTATCATTTTTTTTGTGTGTGGGGGGTCTGGTCGTGGGCCCTGAACTCTGGGCCTGGGCGCTGTTCCTCAGCTCAAGGCTAGCGCTCTACCACTTGAGCCACAGTGCCACTTCCGGCTTTTTTTCTTTTTGCTTATGTGGTGCTGGGGAATCGAACCTAGGGCCTCAGGCATGCAAGGCAAGTGCTCTACCACTGAGCTACCTTCCCAGCCTTTTTTTTTTTTATCTTTTAATAACATGTGTTACTATATATCCTTAATACCAAGAATGATGTCTGATGTGCATTAAGTGCTAAAAATTATTACTTGAATGAGCAAACTATTGCTACTATAAAAATGAAAGAAAAAGTCTCTGGTTCTAATAAGTGCAGCTTTAGTTGGATAAAACTAGTAAATATATAGCCAGGCATGAAGATATGTGCCTCTAATTCCTTCACTCTAGAGCGTAAGCAGGAGGATTGAGAGGCCAGTAGTGATGTAGTATAACTGGGTGAAAACCAAAGAGCCACCAACAAAAACAAAAAAATACATGAAGAGTTTGACATTTTATGTTGGGCACATAGAAAATATTGCATAGGACTTTTTTTTTGGTCGGTCGTGGGGCTTGAACTCTGGGTTTGGGCGCTGTCCCTGTTCTCTTCAGGTCAAGGTGAGCACTCTACCTCTTCAGCCACAGTGCCACTTCCCGTTTTCTAGTAGTTTATTGGAGATAATAGTCTCACAGACTTTCCTGCCCGGGCTGGCTTTGAACTGTTATCCTCAGATCTCAGTCTCCTGAGCTAGGATTACAGGAGTGAGCCACCTGCACCTGGAAGAAAATATTACATAGTGGTTATTATATTGAAGGATTAGAAATAATAGATTTAGAGGCTGGGAAGGTGGCTCAGTGGTAGAGTGCTTGCCTTGCATGCATGAGACCCTGGGTTCGATTCCTCAATACCACATAAGCAGAAAAAGCTGGAAGCGGCACTGTGGCTCAAGTGGTAGAGGACTAGCTCTGAGCAGAAGAGCTCAGAAGAGGGACAGCACCCAGGTCCCGAGTTTAGGCCCCACGACCAACCAAAAAAAAAAAAAGAAACAATAGATTTAGAAACTCTAAATAGAAGTGATCTAAAGAAGAACAATATTCACATTTTAGAGGGTAAGGTAGGTATTGTTGATCTTTTTCTGTGGGTAATGTTTGTTCCTGCCTCAGCTTGCCTTGTGCTGGGAGTCAAGCATGAGCCACCATGCTATGCTCTGAGCACCTTCTTAAATACATTTTAAAGCAGAGGTACTGTGATAAAAGTGATAGGATTTTGGATGATCAGTCCAAAAAGAGGTTCTTGAGATTGACAGATTAACCTTGTTGAAAGGCTCAGCCAGAAATTAAAAACAGAACATTTGAAAAATTTATAATGTGTAATAAAACATAAACTATGCCCAATTATTCATGACTTTTTCTCATTGTGTTTGAAATTATCCTTTGATTACAACTATTTATATTTTGAAATGTTTATATAATTGCTTATTTTCTTTTGAGACTAAGATCTTTGCTTTAAAAGAAACCAAACTCGTTTATGTTCATAACTAACTTAACCAAGTATCTTAATATAGGACAAAGTGTGTTTAGCCCAGCAAATATTGGTCAGCCACGAAAGACGACACTATCTCCTGCCCAGTTGGATCCTTTTTATACACAAGGAGATTCTCTGACTTCAGAAGATCACCTTGATGACACTTGGGTGACTGTGTTTGGGTAAGGTTTTTTTTTTTTTTATTGTTTTGTAAAGGTAATGTGCAGTTACATAAGTTACCATAAACCACAGTTACATAAGTCAGGTAGAGAGTACATTTCTTTTTAAATATCACCCCTTCCCTTGCACTGGGTAAGGTTTTTGGACCTTTAACAATCTCTCTCTTTGCAACTTTTGTTAAAATTATTAAACAATACAGAATAGTTGAAAGACTCGGACAGAAAACACATACATCATTACCTAGATTATTTAATTGCTAACAGTATGCTGAATGGTATCCATCTACTTTTTTAAAAAAATTGAATTATTACTAAGTAGTTGTACAACAGGGTTATAATTATAATTTCATAAATAAAGTTCTGAGTATAATGCTTCTTGGGTGATACCATTCCTTCCTTTGTTTGCCCCCTTTTGCCCCTCTTGTCCTTACCCTCAAATTCATCTATCAGTTTTTATGGTATATTTTATAGTAAATTGTAGACAACTATGCATATTATCCTGATCTTTTTCTTTTCTTTTGTCGGTCGTGGGGCCTGAACTCTGGCCTGGGTACTGTTCCTAAGCTCTTCAGCTCAAGGCGAACACTCTACCACTTGATTTTTTTTTTTTTTTTTGGGTCCGGTTGTGAGGCCTGAACTCTGGGCCTGGGCGCTGTCCCTCAGCTCTTCAGTTCAAGGCAAGCACTCTACCATTTGAACCACAGTGCCACTCCGGCTTTTTTTTTTTTTTCAGCTTACGTGGTGCTGAGGAATCGAACCTCATGCATGCAAGGCAAGCGCTCTACCACTGAGCCACCTTCCCAGCCCCACTCTACCACTTGAGCCGCAGCGCCACTTCAGGCTTTTTCTGTTTTTGTGGTGCTGAGGAATTGAACCCAGGGCCTCCTGCATGCAAGGCAAGCGTTCTACCACTGAGCCACCTTCCCAGTCCTACCCAGCCCAATAAATACATACATACATAAATTTAAATTTTTTATTATTTTTATTATTTTTTGTGCCATTTCTGGGGCTTGAACACTGTTCGTGAACTGTTTTGCTCAAGGCTAGTCCTCTACCACTTGAGCCACAGCTCTACTTCCAGCTTTTTGGTGATTAAGTGGAAATAAGTGTCTTACAGACTATCTTGCTATCCTGCTCAGGCTGGCTTTGAACTGTGATTCTCACATGTCAGTCTTCTGAGTAGTTAGGATTGCAGATGTGATCCATAGGCACTTGGCTTAAAAAAATATATATGTATTTATATATCTCTATATAAATATAGATATATAAAATATATGTATTTATATATCTATCTATAAAATATATATATATATATATATATATATATATATATATATATTCACACACACACATTTTTTTTTTTTTTGCCAGTCATGGGCTTGAACTCGGCCTGGGCACTGTCCCGGAATTTCTTTGGCTGAAGGCTAGTACTCCACCACTTGAGCCACAGTGCCACTTCTAGCTTTTGCTGTTTATTTGGTACTGAGGAATAGAACCCAGGGCTTCATGTGTGCTAGGCACATTACCATTAAGCCACATTCCCAGTCCTAAATTTTTTTTTTTGTTTTTTGTTTTGGTAGGTTGTGGGGCTTGAACTCTGGGCCTGGGCTCTTCAGCTCAAGGCAAGCGCTCTACCACTTGAGCTACAGCACCTCTTCCAGTTTTCTAGTGGTTTATTGGAGATAGGAGTCTCTCCTGCCCGGCCTGGCTTTGAACCACGATACTCAGATCTTAGCCTCCTGAGTAGCTAGGATTACAGGCGTGAGCCACCGGCGCTCGGCTAAAAAAATTTTTTTTTAAGATCATTTAATAAGTTTGCTTTCTCCCGTAACACTTTTCCTTAGGGAGCCACTTTCCAGTGGCTGTGCCTCTGTTTCTGTGGTACATAGTGTTAACTTTCACTAACATGGTGTGCATACTATATGCTATATAGAATTTATACATTTTAGTATTGAAAATTAGAAGTAGAAGGTGACTATCCTAATGCATTTTTTTTCTTTTTTTGGTTGGTTGTGGGGCTTGAACTTAGGACCTGAGCGCTGTCCCTGAGCCTCTTTGTGCTCAAGGCTAGTGCTCTACCACTTGAACCACAGTGCCACTTCTGGGTTTTGAGTGGTTAACTGGAGATAAGGTAAGAGCCTCACAGGGACTTTTCTGCCTGGGTAGGTATGAACCGAGATCATCAGATCTCAGCCTCCTAAGAAGCTATAGATTATAGGTGTGAGCCACCAGTGCTCGGCTTGAACTCAGGGCCTGGGCACTGTCCCTGAGCTTCTCAGGGCTAGCACTCTGACACTTGAGCCACAGCACCACTTCTGGCTTTTTCTGTGTATGTGGTACTGAGGAATCAAACCCAATGCTTTCTTTATACATGCTAGGGAAGCACTCTACCACTAAGCCACATTGCCAGTCATAAGAGTCACTTTTTTTTTTTTTTTTGGTCAGTCGATAAGAGTCACTTTTTTGGGGGGGGGGTCGGTCGTGGGCCTTGAACTCTGGGCCTTTGTGCTGTCCCTCAGCTCTTTAGCTCAAGGCTAGCGCCCTACCACTTGAGCTACAGCGCCACTTTCGGTTTTCTGGTGGTTTATTGGAGAGGAGAGTTTCACGGACTTTCCTGCCTGGGCTGGCTTTGAATTGCAATCTTCAGAACTCAGCCTCCTGAGTAGCTAGGATTACAGGTATGAGTCACTGGCGCCCTGCTGTCCCTGAGATTCTTTTTTTTTGTTGTTGTTGGTCATGGGGCCTGAACCCTGGGCCTGAGCAATGTCCCTCAGCTCTTCAGCTCAAGGCTAGTGCCCTACCACTTGAGCCAAAGCGCCATTTCCAGCTTTTTCTGCTTATGTGGTGCTGAGGAATTGAACCCAGGGCCTCATGCATGCAAGGCAAGCACTCTACCACTGAGCCACCTTCCCCGCCCTCCCTTTTTTGTTCAAACACTAGTGCTCTACTACTTGAGCCTCAACAGTACTTCTAACTTTTTTGGGGTGTTTAATTGGAGATTAGAGTGTCATGGACTCTCTTGCCTGGACTGTTTGCAATATTCAGATCATATCCTTCTGAATGTGAGCCATCAAGCTGATGCAGCCTAGGTTATTTTGTTACTTCTTTGTTCTAGTAACTCTATTTAAGAGTTTAACTTTACGATTTACCCAGTCTCCTTAAGGGGAGACATTTTGATCATTTACAGGAAATTTTTTCTAAAACACCTGATATTTGCTCTTTCCTTGGTAGTTTTTCATGCTGACTGTCACTGTGAAATGTCATTCATTATTTTCAGTGATTCATTTTTTTCTTTGGTCATGGGGCTTGAACTCTGGGCCTGGGTGCTGTCCCTCAGCCCTTCAGCTCAAGGCTAGCATGCTACCACTTGAGCCACAGAGCCATTTTCAGCTTTTTCTGCTTGTGTGGTGCTGAGGAATCGAACCCAGGGCCTCATGCATGCAAGGCAAGCACTCCACCATTGAACCACCTTCCCAGTTTCTCAGTGATCTTTTAAAAGTATTTTTTTTTGTCGGTCGTGGGGCTTGAACTCTGGGCTTGGGTGCTGTCCCTTAGCTCTTTAGCTCAGGGCAAACGCTCTACTGCTTGAGCCACAGCACCACTTCCGGTTTTCTAGTGGTTTATTGGAGATAAGAGTCTCACGGACTTTCCTGCCTGGGCTGGCTTTGAACCGTGATCCTCAGATCTCTGCCTCCTGAGTAGCTAGGATTACAGGCATTAGCCACCAGTGCCCAGCTAAAAGTATTGAAATACTTCTTCCTACTTAAAGTAGACCTTGGACCCTAGAATTATGTTTTAGTTTTTTAAATACTACCTTATTGGGAATGTATTTTTCTTTTTCATTTTTGTACTTTGAGGTACCCTCATTTTATGTATTTGTAGGGGTGAGATTTCTCATCTCCAGAGTGATATAAGTAAATTAAAATTAAAATTCTAATTTTGATTTCAGTGAATATTTCACTAACATAGATTTTAATATGCTTAGTTTTCATTTATCTTGAGCAGCTCTCTTTTGGGAGGTTCTAGTTGAAGGTACAGATTAATTTATATTAGTAGTTTAAAAAACTTCCAGCTGAGAGCTGGGAAGTTGGCTCAGTAGTAGAGTGCTTGCCTTGCATGCATGAGGCCCTGGGTTTGATTCCTCAGCACCACATAAGCAGATTAAAAAAAAAGCCAGAAGTAGCTCAAGTGGTAGAGTGCTAGCCTTGAGCTGAAGAGCTGAGGGACAGCGCCCAAGCCCAGAATTCAGGCCCCACGACTGGACCAAAAAAACCCCCAAAAAACAAAAAACAAAACTTCCAGCTGAATGCTGGTGTTTCACGCCTTTAATCTTAGTTACTCAGGAGGCTGAGAGCTAAGGATCATAATTTGAAGCCAGCCTGCACAGTAATGTCCATATGACTCTTATCTCCAATTAACCACCAGAAAATTGGAAATAGAGCTGTAGCTCAAGTGGTAGGGTGCTAGTCTTGAGTGAAAGAGCTCAAGAACAGTGCCCAGGCTCTGAGTTCAAGGCCCATGACTGACAAAAGTAAATAAAAAACTTCCAGATAGTTGCTTACAGATAGCTATCACTATTTTTTTTTTTTTTTTG